TTCTATAGAAATTTAACACTAGCATCTTTGCAAATGTTGTCCTCCGAGGCTAGAGGACAACAGCACACAGGAACATCACACACTAAATATTGCATTCAACAAGACTGCTTCTTGACTCAAAAACGAGGCCTGACAAACTAGCCAACCCCAGGTGACTGAGTCCAGTTACAGGACATGAGTGAACTTATCATTAGTGAACATTACAAAGCATATTAAAAGGTTACACAGACTTACAAAAGTTCAGAATTCTCCCTAAGGCTATATATAAACACACACGCACACATATACACCTATATATATTTAGACAGGTTCACAATGTAAGAACCTGTACCTTACAGCACTCCGAGGCTTCAGCAAAGCATACATTAGACACATTGGCCATACAGTGCAATTTTACATGTAGCATGTGAGTAACAGCACACCTCAGTGCAAGTGTCACACTGGAACACACCAGAGCACAGCCCAGACACTTGGCTACTGAAGAGATGGGCTGTGCAAGACGGTAACAGGGTAGATGGTAACACATCTATGTGGCTGCTGAACAATGGGATCCAGGGTGTATTTGCGGAGAATAATTCACCTTGCCCAAGACAGGTACAATGTGAAGGGAGTGGCTGGCCTGACACATGGAGGTGGGCTGCACGACACTCCCCGCACGTCAGCGGGGACTCGGTCCACCCTCGACTGCAGGGGCCTGCACAGCCAGCTCCCATCAGGATGAGGCCTGCACTTGTCATTAAGCTGAACACAAAGGACGGCGCTGCAGCGCTCTCGAGATGCAGTGCCTCAGGTTGCGCAGAGCTGAGATAACAAGTTCAGAACTTTCAAACCCAACTGGAGTTGAAGACGATCCCTTCTGGGACTCTTGGTTTAAAGATGCTGTCGTTGACAGTGGATCATAACGCTTCAATGAAGGTAAATATAGTTTTTTTCAAAAAAAGAAACATAAGCTACTGACACTGAAGAGAAATTAGCATTTCATATCATTTAAGAATAAATAAAAACAGAGAAGCCAGTCTTTCAATGTTTTCTGTTCTGAAGGTAAAAAAACACAAAAATACTATTTGGCAATAACTTAAAATAACAGCCCTGGAGGGGACTTCCTTATGGAAAGCAAAAGGAGTAGGGAGTGTAAGTGGTCTTGAGGTGTAGCGCAAGGCTGTCCTGGTCATCGTGCATGACTTCAACCCTGTGGAGAGTCAAAGCTCCCAGGACAGTTCAGCTATTCTAAACATTGCCCATCCTTGGCCCAGGAAACACTTTCCTCAAGAAGAATGCTCATAACATCCTCATGTTGTTTCCAGTCTTAAATCTGCAAGTGGGTAAGTGTTAAAGCCTTCGCCTCAGATTGCAGTCTCATGGTAAATGATCCTGATGACCCACTTAAAGGGACAATCACAACAGCTATCTCTGAACTCAGAAAACTGCTGCTGTTATTTCTTTAAGCAGATTTTACAAAATGTTACTCCTACTTTTCGCTTCAAGGTACTAAATTATTGGTCAAATCTTTCCCATGATACTGATTTTTCTGTTTAACATAAACAATTACTGAGTGAACGAAAGACTAAAATTCCACTAAATTTCATCTTTTAAAATGAAATGAAGTAAGATCCCACTTCTAAGTCAAAGTTCAAAAACTTTTAAATCTTTATAAAGAAGATTTTAAATCCTTTTTATGGAACTTTCAATGACTATCACAGTCCTCCCATGGTTACCCCAAAATCACTTTAAAATCTTGCTTCAACAGCTTCACTCTTAGAAATAAAATACATTTACAGTTCATTTTAAACTATTAGGTTTTATTATTTCTGCTTTTCTTTGACCAAATAAATAATTCCTGAAAAGTGTCAGACTAAAAAATGCTTCATCTTATACTCAAATAGCTATGTTCTTTTGGTTTTCAAAAGAATATTAATTTAAACATGAGGATCCTTGTACTGCTGCTAAAGGAGGATAGCGAGCCTCTCGATTTTTAAAATGGTCTTTGTAAGGCTTCTCTTCGAGCAGCCCGGCATGCATAACCCGCCCCACTCTCAGGTGCAGAGAAGGTGGCAGACATGCCTGAACTATTCCTGGCTCCTATAGAGCAGCTGCTGGCTTACTGATTTGCCCC